AGCAATTATATTTATACAAGAAATGTTGCCTTCTCAGCAAAAGGAATAGAAAACCTATTTTATTAGAGATGTGACAAACCCACATTTTCAATAGTTCTGTGACAAACATGTAATTGGTCTTGGTATTTGCTGACCACAGAATAAAATACATCTTAATGAAAGAAAGCAATCTGGGCAGCAAAATACAGTTTTGCCACTATGAAAGAACCACTGGGAAAGACCAGCAGGAGCAAGTTTGAAGTAACATAAGGATGACTGGTAAGGGAGATGCAGTCAGCATGTTCCTGGGCTGCATAAAGATGCCCCCAGAGTACACTTCACATCACAGTTAAACACCAATGACTCCAATTTTCTTCTCTTTTGTTTCAGAAATATCATTAAAAGAAAAATAACATTACTTATGTGAGAAGATGTGATCTTTAATATCAATACATTGTAAAAGTATTTTTTTTAAACATCTGAGCAACTGCCAAAGAACTACAATATTTGAAGAATATAATGTACATCTATTTTGGATTTTAGCCTTAAAGTTTAGCAAAATATAGTAAATACATCCCAGAAGGTCTGCAGTTAGTGTGGCTAGTGTATCCCTTCATTAGTTAAACACGTTAAAAAGCCTTTTAACCAGTAACTCAAAGACTTGTGTGATAGTATTATAATTGGAACTCTTCAGAGCCTTTGCAAAATGTTTCAGAAGGTTTTATCTGTACAGCAGACCATTCCCGAAATAAGGCCCAAAGGTTAAAACTGTTAATGTAAAGAACTGAGAGACAAAACTCCTAATAAAGTCTAATTTTGAAATTCTTGCTACAGCTGAGTAACATGATCCTGCATAACAGGAGTCATCTCCGGCTCTTTGGGAAGTAGCTGTAAGTTAGAAGAGATTTTAAAGCTTTGTTCACTACTCAATACTTAAAACTGCAAGTTGTCTTTGTGGTACCAAGCATGTTTACCATACTTGTATTATTAATCTTGCTAACTCAGGAAGATTGAAAGCATTAAGTTCTCCAGTGAAAGTTCAAGTTAGTATGAAGGAAGGAAATAGTTAATTAACCCTAACACTTAGAGAATCTACAAGGAGTATGTGGTGATCAGATCAAGCATGACACTTCAAATATTAGTGGAGCAGTAAATGTTGACCACATGACAGAAGTCATGAGACTTCTTCGTTTTCTTGTGATCTCAAATAAGCCTAAGCATTACTTTAGACCACAAAGGACAACCCCTCCCACATACAAGCTGCACATACAACCTCGTATTTATGTATTTATCCAACCCATGTCTAAGAAATAACCAAGCAGCTGTTGACACCATATTAAAAGCAACATCTTTCAAGCACACATTTTTCCACCTAGCTCCAAATGCAGAATTACAGTACACAGTTGCACAACACCAGTATTAATACTGAATTAGAGACCAGATGCCAAGTTTTCATAGGAAAAGATCCTCTAGAGTAGGTTGATAATCACATGACAAATCATAAACAAACTAAATCCTCTCATCAACTGTACCTAAGTATTTTTGGGGGGAAGGAGAGAACCTGTTTAGAATGGCACATGCACGTACTCTGAGAGTGAGCTCTCATCACCCACCTTGTCTCAATGAGGTAAGCAGTGTAAGTTTCCTGCATGTTCATGGCATTCCTCCCAGTCCGTTTTTCAGCTTCCGAAACAGTGATTTCCATTTTTTTTGCCAAACAGTCTTCCATCTTTTTACAGGAGGAAAATAAAGATTCATGTAACATTAGCCACACAAGGTAAAGACTACTAATCCTGCCTCTCCTTCTCTCACACCACATTTGTTCAAATAAGACAGGTCTCTATAGGATAAAGGCTTTGGCACGGCTTCATTTTATACCCGTGTTCTGTATCACATTTGCAAATGAAAACAGAAAACCTGCTTCAGGGGAAAAAAACCCCAAAGTCAACAAATAGACAACGTTGGATACCAAAAGCCATCAAGAGCCAGAAAGATACAAAAAGGAGACATATTTTTCTTTACAGGTAACAAAGTAACCTTTTTTTAAAAAACAAACAAACCAACCAACCCACCCCTGCACTTTCTACCCAAACACTTCCAACTACTGGTGAATTCCTCCTCAGGACACCTGGGACACACATAACCACCTCTCTCCTTTCACAGGAAACAGAATACATCCGGACTGAGATGTTTTTCTTTTAATCTCTCAGAGGAGGATCGTTATCTTTTACACACTGGCAGGCAGAGTCAGTCAAGACCACATGCCCACCGTGGAAAGGCAGAGCTCTAGGAACCTCCAGCTAAATTCAGCAGAGAGGGGGACTTACTTGTGAATTAGAGGGGGGGCGGGGAGGCAGTGGGGCGACAAATTGAGAAAGATAAAATAATAATAATAATCTGGCACAAGGGATATGGGCAGACGGCACACAAAGCCCTCCAACAGCGGCCAGAGAGGGACTGGAAGGAGGAGAACCCCACTGCTCGGAGGGACGGGCTG